CCTTTGGTGTTCCTGTTCCTTCTCCCTCCTCCTCCCCCCCCCCACCCACTTGGTTGTTACATAGCAAATCTGTCGAAACACCATCCTTACAGCTTCAGAATAATGATGCGCAGCTAATTGTAAGGACGGCATATATACTTTTGAGTTCCAACAACCAAACTGTCATTAGAACATAGGATGGCGGGAATGAAGGATACTACATGCAGATAGTTTTGTTTCTGACCTAAAATACTTTCAACGTTATGTTACTACAAGGTAGTTGCAGTCGTATTGAGCAGGCACTCGCTCAAGTAAGTTGAGCGCCTTCGTCCCCCCCCCCCCCTACCCCCACCCTCCAAAGAAAGAAATTTCTTCGGGAGTTTAAGGTGTTTACGCATTTTTTACCCTAATGAAAATACTTTGCAAATCTAGGAAGCAAAAGATTGTGATGCACAATCAAAAAGCTTCAGTTTACATCTCACTCAAATGCAATGTCTCACCAAATTTTGGCTGCCGAGATTTTTGCATTTTACAAGCCTATCGCACCCCGTCTAACACTGTAAGGGCCTGAATCCGCTCGGTGTTCCTAAAAATCTCGTTATTCGCGGACCCCGAGTAAGCAACGCGAACGAGTTCTGCACTTTGGTCCTAGCCTTCGCCACAGTGGCAGCAACACCGAGTAGAAGGACAGTAGAAGGACGTGCTGAAATAAGTTGGAAGGGAGAGACCGGAGAAGTCGCCCGCGCTAGCAAATCGCTCTTCACGTACTAAAGCGTGTTATTTTCAGCGTAGAGAGGGCCAGATCGAGTCGGTGTTGTTGACTTGACCCATTTAGTGGGCCCTCTATAGAAGGTGTGGAGATCCGCACTACACCATTTTTGCTGAGACATTCCCTCTAAATTGCATTGTCTGAAGCATTTTCCCGAAGAGATTAATCAGTTTATTAGTAGACCAGTGCATCACTTCTGCCCCGCGGAGCTCGCATTGGCCATTATGGGACGTATTGGAACACCTGAGGACTGGTACCGACCTTTCGATCAATCCCCAATAGAGTGACCGCTAAGTAGAAACAAGATTATGAACCTCCGTCGTTAGCAACTCTCACATGTTTGATATACTTTAAATCCTTCTCAATATAATTTCGTTACAGGCCAACTTCAATGACTGACAGATTAACGGATTATTATTGGTTGTTTCAAGTTCTACCTTTTTGAACTTTGACTTTAATTCGCCATAACTCTTCTCAGAAATAATCTTCAAAGTTGCTATATATACAATCTGCAAATCTTTGCCTATTCTGCGCACTCTTCGAAATATTGCAGTAACAGTGGAGAAGATTTTATAGGCGAACGAGGAACATCTCCTTGTAGAAACCTTCACTTTGCAAAAGCATACTTGGAATATAGCTGAGTTGCACAAGCACTGCTCACAGTGTAGCACATAGTCGACTGAACAATACCGCTAACTTTGGATTTCATCAAATTCTTTCATAAAAATTTTGTGCTGAAGAATCCGAAAAAACCCACTTACTTCGCTCTTTCTGAGGCGGCAAAAATGCAAATTTTTGACATTTTTGATTTTGTTCGCCATAAAAAGTTTCGCGGTTGCAATGTATTTATGATTTTTATGCGACATGAAGGGACCATAAAGATAGGTTATGTTTGAGCTAAAAATTTGTAGATTCAAAATTTTTCTGAAATCATATCTCGATGAGCGTTTCGTAGCACAAGTCTTCAGCAAACATTATAAAGGTTTAAAAAAATTTTTGGCTTAGATATTTCACGGCGATAGGGCAAAGACGAACATTTTCACATTTGTTTCGCTGTCATTTCAAAGTACGCAACCACACAGCGAACAAAGATCTATGAAAGCGAAAATATGCCTGAAAAACTAGAATAAAAGAGCTTTTGAATGATATAAGCACTGTTTACGAAAATTGGTTTGTTCTTCCAAAATCGGAAGTTCAAAGCATCAAAAACGGGTAGAACTTTTGAAACAACCGAATATAAGCCTTAATTATCGCCTACTCAAGGCCCTCAGCTTCAAAGCTCAAAGTTTCTATCAAAGCTACATTTGGCTATTGTAAATTGCTGCAATGGTACCTCTTTATGTATATTCTCTAGACAATGTTCCAGACATTGCTGCTACTGAAAATCAAAAACAAGTTTACCGGAAGTTGTTTTTGGGTAATGCTGGTCCAAGTGCTTTTATATTCAAAACAAAGAACCTACCGAATATGTTTTGTAGTTCACCTTTGAAAAAAACTGAATATTTTGAAGCTTTTAAGGTCCGCGTGGAGAATTGACTTCACGTAACTTCTTGATTTTTACACCTCTAGAACAAGAGGGAAGAGGGTCGTTGGAAGTAGGTGCTCCTAAAGCCAAAACGCATTGAAATTCAATTTTGCTCTAACAGTCATGGCTTATAATAACGGACTAAGGGTGTTTATGTGTTTCTGAGTGGTGTGTCTGTCTGTTTGTAACGAAAATCATAGAACGAGTCGCAGACATGGTCTCAAGCCGCAATTTTCTGCATAACACACAATGCCAACATCCAGAATTTCCATTCAAAAGCACGAGCCGATCCGTTTAATGGACCGCTCAGAACCTGCTCGCCAAACGTATCCACTTGGCTTCTACCCTGCAAAATTGGGTCCGTATTACCACTTTTTGCGGAGTTATGGTTACGTTTAGCAAGCTAATATGCAAGCCAAATTTTAACTCAAAAAAAAATGATGAAAATCTATCACTCTAAAAACGGAGCCAAAAGGAATTGTTTGCTAATGGGTCAATTTGCCTTTCACCTCAGAGTTTGAGAAGATTTTTGCACAGGGATGTAGCTCACGCTGGATATTATCTTTATGGTGACTATCAGGCCATGAAAAAATTCAAAAGGGTTTTAAATCCGCATTTGTTCTCATCTTCCAAATTCATCCATGCAAAATACCGATCTCACATGAAAAAGCTTCCATAATGAGTAGTTGTTTATGATTTATTAGCAAAGGCTGACATTGCGCGGTAAGTTTCACTGCCATCTTAGGCAAGAATGAGTGTGGCGTATCGATAGGAAAAACAGTGCGAGCCTCAGCGAAGCAGAGGGGTGACGTGCTGGTTAGATGATAACGTTATAGTACTGTTAGTGGCATTGGAGCACTAGAGGTTATTTAAAGAGTTAGTGCAGTCTTCTACACTCGTAAGTAATCCTACATCCTGATCGGTTTGTCATTTGCCTCATTGTACTGTGCTCTATATTATTTCCATCTGGGCCGGTAGTAATCCCCCCGACCTGGCGGCAGGTCTCGTCGGCAGGTTGCTGGCACCTTTCCGCGAGGTGGCCAGAAACTAAGAACCGAAATTTAGGCCGTCCCAGGCCTTTTTCCAAAAAATTTTCTCGATAAAGTTGCCGCCTTGACTCTGTAGAAAACTTCATAAAAATCTGCGGCTCCAGAACTCCTCCTTTAGTAAAATATCTGGAATTCCAGGAGGAGCTGCCGGCAACTTCGCGATGTCAGCTGCCGGCAACCTGCCGGCAGGTTGCCGGAATCCGCGAGATGGCAGCTGCCGGCAGGTCAGAGAGCACGGGAAATAGCGTGCTCTTTTGAGAGAGCGAGCTGCCGGCACCTCGACGTGCCCCTACCACGTCGAGGTGGTGGCACCTTTGCCGACGGCGTCTGCGAGTTTGCGAATTGCGGCGATATCACACAGTTTACGTCAGGCGAAAATATCAAAAATTCTACTTTTCATCAAAAAACTATCATTTTTCTCATTATACGAGTTTTTCTTTTTTAGAATGACGATTTTCTTACAGTGAAAAAATCCAGTAATGCCTTAGAATCATAAAGAAACATCATCTTTTCTGGAAATCCCTTATAAATCTCGTTTGCACAGATCTCGCCGCTCTCTCGCTCATATCAATCAGCTGTTCTTTCAGGTCAAAGTCTCTCACGCAATGTATCGATCCCTCTTACAGGCAGCCATTTACCAGCGCGTTCCTCCTATTGCTGGTGCAAAGGACAATGGTGGCTGACCGAATGGTCGAATGGTTAACGTGTTGGCACTTCAAGTTAACACGCATAGGTTCGACCGGGCGCGAGGTAGCAATTTTGCGGCTGTCTGCGTCATCAAAACTTATGTGCGAAATGAGTGCGTGCTAAGGTTACATAAGATTATTAAAGCCTACAATCACTGCTGCCGGCGAAGTTGGCATCTTTCCGCGATGTGTGCCAACTTGCCGGCATCTTTGATGCCACCAGGTAGGGTAGATTACTACCGGCCCTGATCTTCGTTTGCTGATGGTCTTCGTATTATTATACACCTTTAGCGCTCTGTCCTACCGCCAATTACCACAATTTTTAGCATTTAAACAGCTATCTCTCGTCTGTTGTTGCTCAAGTATTCTGTACGTATTAGAGTAAAACAAAGAAATAATCACGAAAGGGGAACACAATCATTAATGTAATCAGTGCCATTTCAACTATATTTCGCACCTCTTAGCTTAGTCTAACGATTTTTTGAGTTGGCGTCGCGTGGCTATCCGTCATTGGAGAGTTCAAGCATTCAGTCAGGCACGGCATCTGAGAAGGTTATAGCGCATTCGAAAAATCGTAACGATGGCGCGACCGCATGTGACACGCACGCACCTCCCGGCAATTGCATTTTCTTGGTAATTATCTCTACTCGAATTATTTCTGCTTACGTACGGTGGTATTCAGACGCTGAAAGTGACTGAGCTGGAAGTTGAGGTGATGCCTTTATAAATGTGTTTATGCTCCTGTGGGCGCAAAGACCGCAGTCAAGTCCATAGTCACGATTTCGCAAATAGGCCATAATCTGCTCTGTTAAGTCTATTTTTGAGCAGACTAGTAGTCATCGGAGCATGTAACTTTCTTTTCTACTGTTGTACTCCTTTTACTTCAGACGTGAGATTTTTTTAAGTTAAATTGGCTTCAATCTTGACTACGACAAAATATTTTAATCGTTGAAGAATTTGATAGGTTTTCTATATCATTTTACCTATTTCAGTATCAAGCAGGTTTGTCGATGTGCGAAAGCATCTAGGTTGGATATGCGACATAACAGGCGAGTAAAACCATAATACAACACAACAGAATGATTGCTTAAAAATGATAGCTCAAAACAGTAAGAGACTCGTGCCAAACAACGAAAGAATAACTAACAAAAACCTTGAATCGCCAAATCTTAACCTTCTGAATTTTTTTATGCAGGAGTTTGTGAAGATGGAGATGGAGATTTCGAAGAGCAGGAGCCACCATCCTTCGCAGGGCTTGAATGATCATTCCGGCTTTGTCGACATTCGCGAAGAATGAAAAATGGACGAGAATTGTGAACAAATAACATTGTCCGTTGCCCATAAAAGTTTTTGCATCAACGTACCGCAATTTCAACCTCCGCTATTCAATTATATGAGCAACTTGATACGTCAGGTCATTTGAGAAGTAGATTTACTTTTGTATAATCGACTTTAAAAGAGCTCAACTTCCTCCGAGATTGTTACAACAAAGTTAGCTACAGAGATGTTCGGCGGGTCTCCAGCAACAAGCGTTATCATACCCCTTTATGAATTCACAGCAATCCTTAAAGTCTAGAAATGCGATTTTGATTAGCCTTATCAAATGGTCCTATTACTTCCCAAAGGCTTTGGACGGGAAATTGATTTGCGAGAAAAGAAATCTAGAAAATTAGTGAAGTAGTTGAATTTTGGTGTGCAGTTACTTGCCTTCTTTGAGAGCCACTCCGCAAATTTTTTTGGGGCGGGGCGGAAATGACACCCGAATAGTTTATTTTGAATCGTCATTATACCACTCCTTCTTGACTGCACGGCTAGGTTTCGTGGAGCTATAGCGGAAAATTTTGGCAAAAAGCTATTGATATTTCCTCTCCTTTTCGGAGTTGCTATACGATTGTGACCATGTTACTGGGACTTTTACTGAATAATGTTCATTACGACAGCTAATGTCACAAGAAGTAGTCCGTCTCCGATCAGATTCAGATCACATGAATAATCTCTTGTCACGGTGACAGACCAATCCGAAAAACGAAACTATTCTGTCAGTGAGAACAGCGAATGCCTAGTCTCCCTATTCATCTGCATCCACACATCACATCACCACACATTACAAAATTGCTGAGATTTTCTGCCCTGCATATTGGTGAAGATGGCTTGTGTTAACGGCTGATAGTCTTGCATAGCTACATTTGGTCTGGTGTAAAAGTCCTTTGAAGGTGTTTGTTCATATGTGTGACAGTTTTTGGGGCATCACAAATCTCCAGCTCTCTGCTATTCAGACAAGGATTGTATAGAACGATTTTGCATCACCTTAGGAGGCACCCTCCGACGAGTTGAGGATGGTGAGATTCTGTTGTTGTATAATAACGGAGCCCCTGATAAGTTCCTCAATTCCCGCTGCAAAAAAAAGATTTAGTGCACCTTTTGAAGCGACAAATTTGCAGCCGAATCGAGCGAATTAGGCTTCAAGTAGTAATTTGTGTCAAGCATTTAATATTTTGATGAAAAAGTAGTTTCCGCTATATATAGATAACTAAGTTGACTCTTTCAGCAAATATTACTTCCGAACTTTTGATGGGGGGAAGGGAGAGGGGGGGGAATACGTATTCGCAGGTAATCTACCTTCTCGAGTATCAAAAAGCACCACCAAAATATGTCTCACCCCCTTTTTTGCAGCGGAGCATTTGAGCAATTGCTTAATGGCGCGCCTACTGTATCATACCAAATTCACCACCCTAACTTAGCTAGACGAAGCCTTTTTGAAAGAAGATTTGGACTAACCATACACCATAACCAAGCGCACGAAAGTTGCTCTTCTGATTACATTACGTTGAAGTTGTTATTCAAGTCTTCCTATGAATTCATAGTTGCCATCCTCTTGCAAAGCGATTGCTCGCATGGTCGATGGGATACGCACGAACTAGAAGGCTTCTACCACAGTTCCATACATAGCAACCGCTACCAGTCCTCCGGTGCCCTCGTAAGGTAGGCGCCAGACTAACCAATTGTCTGCTTTAGCAGGACACGGCGCATGTATCGTCAATTGATGTCACTTTGTAGGAAAATCAAATTGACGTACGACAAAAAAATTTTTTTATGCAAGACCTTTTCATCATTTTCTCAATCTGCGAGGCTTTTTATCATCTCTTCAAAACTACTGTTGCTGCGAACACCACAGACGCCACTTCAACTTCCATCCAACGTGACGCCATCAACTTTCTAGTTGCGCAGATACCTGCTGAAGCAGGCAAATGCTTAGTCTGGCGTCTACCTATGAAATGGCACTTGTCAGGAGCTGAAAAAAAAACGAAAAATTTTCCGAATCATCTTATATGAAAGCAGCTTAAAGGCAATGGCTCGGCAAATCTCAACCTAGTCAAATTTGCGCTTACCAGGGGTTCTTCAATACGCTGATCCCGAAAATCCACTTTAAAAGGCTTGAAAACGGCGAAAACGAGCGTTTTTCAATGCCCTTCGCTGTGAAACTGGACGAGTGGAGCAAGGCTGATGACGCTCAATCGTTGCGACCCAGTAGTTATGACATTGCGGCGGGCAGCCTCCAATGGTGAGAGGATTTGCCAACCGCATACGGTCCGAGAGAGTGTAAGAGTGGCTTGCGCGTGTAAGTTTAAGAGCCATTTTCTCGGTAGGGAAGGCATGCTATGCGACCAGGATTGCAATGTTTTCATACTTGGGCGATAAGCAATCTACCACGATGAAATCTTGAGTTGCCTAGTTGTTTAGCTTTGCCGACCCACTGCCTTTGAGTACGCAGTCGCCAACCGTTCTTAGGGGAGAGTACAGTGATGCTCCATGAAATGTGTCAGTACCGCACAAATTTCTCGAAGAATTGAGCGGAAAATCTTTGGAATGAGGAGGCAAAGTGTGTCACAATCTTCCCAAGTATTTTTCTACAGTGGCGATTCCGGGATTTTTGGAAGTTTGAATCAATTTACAAAGTTTATGAAATACTTCCACAAACTCATTGAAGACATTCTGAAGTTGTAACCTGTCGTACTTTATACTAACGATCTAGGGTTACAGAGCCTCCTAGAGATTAGTACAAAGCGAGGGATAATTTTCCTAGAACACCAACATACAGGACATCTCACAGTTCCTACATCAGCGGGGACGTATGCGCATACGGGTCTCCTAACCAAGAAACGATACTGGTCACCATGGCCGTTTAAAATGCTGTGTACCATAAGATGCACCTTGAGAAGCCGATTCCAAATCCGCGCTTGATATTTGCGAAACGATCTTCTGAACAAACTTATGACCTTTTTTCTTGGAAAATTCGAGCACTTCTAGATATTTGAAATCATCGAATTTGGTTCACTTCACCATAGTGATATTAAAGACAATCTTAGGCAGAGATTGTATTTACAACTTTCTAAATCAAATCCAGCATTTGAGAAGGTGAGAAATTCCGCTTGTTGAAGATTTCAAGTCTCCGCAATCAAAGTCAGTACCACAGTTCACTGAAAAAAATAATCGTACTCCACCTGGTTTATCGTTTCGCAGATATGGGAGACAGTTTTCGAATCAGCATTTAATGAGACATTTTCTGATGTATAATACAATTAATTATGAATTGCCATGGTGACAAGTTATCCTTCCCTTGTAAGAAATTCGTGCCGACGCATCAACTATCCCAAAAAAAAGGTTTTTAAGTTATCTATTGTATATATTAGCACAAGCCAACATTCTGAGGTATGTAATTGAGACTGCTTCGCTGCGTTTCATTTTCGTAGAGTTTGGAGTCATTAAAAGTGCGATGGCCAGCACTTTAGCAAGGCATAGTAGATTCCAAGAAGCGGTATCGCTTTGTCGTGGGTGAAAAAATTGTAAGTGTTAACAGAACACAGTAAAGAATAATTGTTTATTAGGAGAATAAGCGAATAGTAGAAAATCAGATTTATTGACGTCAAAGATGTAAATCAATATGATGAGCAGCAGAGGTCGACTCGTCGGGTGGTGAGCGTACCGCTCCAGATGGTGGCATCCTCCCCCTTAAGTTCCCATATATCCCTTTTTTATATCGGTCGGCGTCCGTTATCAGATCGTTCTCAGCTATGCTGAGTGAAGCATTCTGGGTTTTGCGAAAGTCCGCAACGTTCTGGGAGTTTTGCGACATTCCGGGGTTTCCGCAGAATCACGCGTATCACGCAAACTACGCAGCGCCATAACTTCCTTAGGAATGAATGTATTTTGAATCCGAAAGAAGCGTTATGTTTAGTTCATCAAGTCAAATCTTTTGGTTTACAGCATGTCCTCGATATTTCGTTTTCAGTTTTCTCCAATTTGTCTGCGGACGCCGTTTTGCAAGGATGCAACACAGCGCACATCACACATAAAAGAGTAAGCAATTTTCGATAGTGCTTCTCCTGTAGATTACAGTGCGCTAGAAAGTAGCTGCAGACTACTTTCCAAAAGAGATAGAAGCAATTCGCTATTCCTGTTGTTCGCGATTTACGCTGTGATAAATGTTCAGAAAAGCTTTACCGTAGAAAATAACAAAGTGTCACCATATGTCTACCGTGTCACCATGAATTACGGACACACCGTACACCAAAAGATTCGTCTCATCATGCTGAAGCCAAATCTTCTTGCAGATCTCATATAAAGTTGTTCTAGAAGAAGTTACAGCTAAACCCCCCTTATCGCAAATCCCGCGAACCCCGCAAATCCCGTGAAGTCGCGAATCCCGCGAATCCCGTGAATCCCGACAATCCCGCGAATCCCGACAATCCCGCAGCTTTGGATTCTACCGCTGCAACTGTAATCCTGTTGCAAAGGGTCGGTATCAAGACCAGGGCCCGGCACGAGGTTGTCAAATGACAAGCTGGAAATCGTTTTTGGCAAAAAATGCAAAGGGGAAGTCGTTTTTTAGGGGTCCGGAAAAAAACTGGCAGTTCATGCTCGCTGCTTATCTTAACATGTTATGTGCCTCAACGGGCGAACACTGAAGTTCGCGCGTCAAACTGCGCCGTCGCTAATTGCCGCACGCGCGACGTCGCTCAAGCGATGCTATTTGTAACAGCATACATGACTAGTTCTCAATGTATGTGTAAAGATATGGCACCAAATTTTGTATGCGAACGGAGAGAGGCTAGTGGAAATAAACTATGAGAAATTATGAAAAACTTATGTGAACGGAACGAGTAATTAGCATCTTTTCCGAGAATTTCGCAAAATTGGTAAATGAAGATGTGAATTCAAACGGCTCGTTTGGAACGCGCAGATGACGATATGATATGAAACTTGGTAAGCACATGCACACGGGCTTGCAGGGCTTAAATGAGGAGTTTCATTGAAAAATTAAGTGACTGAAGGCTGTGGCGAACTTTTTTCTGAA